GAAGGTTCGTGACTCGAATCAATAGCAAATAATTTAATTAAATGCTAGTTTAATTATACCTAGTGGAGGTTGTGCCACGTGTAGGATGAATAGAAACCACAAGACGGGGAAAACGGGACACACGGAAAGGATCGAATTCAGGTAAAATCCCATGTGGAGTTACTACAAATTTGCTGTTCAGGTACCAGTACTTTGATACATTTCCAAGTAAATAGTTACGTTGTAAGAACTGTTATTAGAGATTATTAGAGAATTAAACTCTATTGTAAATATGTAAATTTCTCCCTTCAAGTGTGGGATAACATACCAGCATTAGGAGTAATTTAATTATCATACATATAATATACAAGTATATAGCGTTTCAAATGAATCAAGATTCTTTCTTCTATTTTTCTGTTTTCTCACTCATATTAATAAAAGATATGTGTACATAATTTTATATACATTTTTTAATATACATACTATTACATACTTATTATAATTTGTAATATTTATATTATAATTATCTAAAATATAATAAATTATAAATTTTACAATAATAAATAATAAAACTGGCGAATAATGTTAATTCTCTAAAGACCAAATATGATTTTGATGTCATTATTTCTTTAGATTATATAGAAAAGCAATTCCAAAGTACACTTTACATTTTCAAGCATTATAATAAAGTTTAAGCTGCTTACTAATCTTGGATTATACTTTCATTGAATCTAAGCTCGAACTCTTGTTTCAACTTTGCTTGCGTACACGTTGAAAATATGTTTCCATAGTTCCACGTTTTCAGATAATTTCACTTGTGTAAAATTATATAATACTTTTACATTTGATACAGCAATGCGTGGAAACAAAATTTTAAATTAAGCAACATCTACTACTAAAAAGAGTACTATAAAAATATCAAATAATTGTATAAAAATGTATAAACTTCGTATAATTTATCTAAATAATTCTTGCATTTTTGCATAGAACTGTGCGCCAGAATACCTTTTACCCAAACGTTATTTGCGTTGACAAACAAGTTGTTTTCATTTTAAATCATGCCACATCAATCACTCAAAACTCATATATCTTTCTAGCCTGTTTCCTTCACAGCAAGGAATACATATTTTTAAACAAGTGTATACAGTTTTTTCAAAAACGAGAATAATGTCTTCGGATACTCAATATACCCTATTTAATCCAAAGTGTTTAATTACGATTAATCTTGGAAATAAATCTTTTCTATCGCCCATAGCTCGTTCCTTACTTTGCATGCCAAACAGATTCGTGCGAAATATTTCGGGCGTTGTATGTACCGAGCTTCGAGAAACGCCAATATTTTGTTGCTATCTTTCCAACAAACAGCTGCCTATTCTCGGAGGGTCTTCCTTTGGCGAATATTAATAGTGATATGCACATGATAACGTATAGGTGTACGTCCTAACTGCTGTATGTAAGTATCAGACACTTTTCAAATATCTATTTGATTCTATGTATTTGACGCTTGACGAAAAAGATAAATATGTAGTTGACATAGTTGGTTGACAAAAATTGTATAATAAATACAAATAATAAAACATTAAAAAATCTAAATAATAAATAACTTCTATTGAATTCTACCACTTTATTTGTAACATGAAATATAATATTATGTCATATAAAAAAAAACACAATAGAGCTGTGGTATGATTGCCTAGAATAATTTTCTCTTGTTTGCAGAAATTTCAAAAATAATTTGGTGAGAAAAGTTTTGATCGAATTTTCCTGAAATAAATTACAAATGGGATTTGCTGGAACACTATGATCTAAAAATATTACTTTATCTGCCTTATTCTATGCGCAAGAGCCGAAAAATGACATTTTGAAAATAAAAGTAAATTAACTATATTTAGTTATGATTTAGTTTATAAACCTAAGAGCGTAAAAATATTTTCACATTCTTTTACAGTTTATTTACAAGGTTTTCAATATTTAAACGATAATTTGTATCAATTTTATAGGTAGAAAAGATTACGTTTTATATTAATTATTACAGCAATTATGATTTGATATTGATGTATTGTTTAGATTAGAAATAAAGGTACCACCAGATATAGGCAAATTATACACACAGTTCAGTCACCAAATCGTTTCTTCGTTTAAGTCTTGCATTCCTTCTCATTTAATAAGACTTGAGTCACTTATAAGCTTACTAACTCTAGCTAACGAGCTTCTTAAAAGACCATTAGGTCTTATATATGTTACACATAAAAAAAATTGCCTTTTTCATACATCATCTTGTGCTTATACACCAAGTTGAGAATTTGTGACGCAGAGTGTACAAATGTTACATGAATAACATAAATATTATATTAGATTTACTCAATGTTCTATGTGCAAAAGTTCACGTGTTAAAAGAAATGAATTGGTGTATACAAGACTGATAATTGTATACGTTTCCCGACTGGAATTATTTTAGACAGCCAAATGAATTATTAATCACGCTTAATAAACTTCTTTCAATAAAGTATTTTGAAAGGCGATTAAAACTTCATAGCATAATTTTACCCGTTCCGGTCGATTCCTCTCGATATTATCCCTCGCAAACCGTGGCGGATGATTGAATTCATTTAGCTTCTCGCTAAAATACCAGGTGAAAATATTGATAAATCGCGTATCTCTGTTTGTCGTTAAATATTCCAGAACATTCAAGGCTCCTTCAAATTTAAATGAGTAGTCAGTGTCTAATACTACAGTATGCTTCTTCGACACAAAAAGTTTTCCCGGGATCTTTGTATCTCGTATGATGAGGTATCTCAATGTGAAGTCAACCGTACGTGAAGAGAATACTTTTCCACTTTCGCTTAAGTTGGAACGTCCGGATACGAATATAGTTAACCGAGAAGAAAGATGCTCTTTTTCTTCGTCTAAGCTGCAAACTTTCAACTTTATACAAACGTAACAAGCTCGATTTGAAGCACAATACTACTTTTGATATCCACGTCATTTCCAGTGCGTTTAAGAAAAGCAAAAGTTTACCTTCTCTACCAACAATTTTAATTGAAAAGGAAGTAACACATCTCGTTTTCTCTTGTAAGAGGTTTACTTTGTCATGGAAAATAAGATTATAGGATAAATTGCAGCAATGAAAAATACAATTAATATATAATTGAACATAATGTTACGTTTATAAATTAAAAATTAAGAGGCTGCTATTTTACTTGTAAAATAATTCTGACATTTTATCAGCATTGCGAAGCGTTTATTAAGATAACAATGCGTTGTTATATATTTTATTGCGACTCTCTCACGCGATAGATATTTTACTTCGTAAAAACCCTGTACTAAAGATACAATAAAGTCACACTCGGCGATGATCACAAAGTTGGCGTGACAAACTCGCCTTTCACATATGGGCGGCTCGGGCTTTTTCATGCTATAACAAGTATGGATATATGTCTATAACTCGGTCGCTCTCGAAGAAATATATAGCCACGATTACCATCGTACTCACTCGCACGAAAGCGAAGGGGCATTTATCCATGACAAAGTCGTTAGCGCGAACGTCTGGTTCGAACGTCAAACAAATTCGATGGCTAAAGCTTTATCAAAATCACGATATAGTCCCACGAGAGGAGTATTAAATTTTCGTTGATTTCAGAAAAAAAAGGAATTCTACAAAGAATAACAGCACGTAATAATTGCTCTTCGCCCACAAGACATTCCTTCTCGGAATTAATTAAAATGTCGTTATTTCTGCCAGAGAGTGGAGAATTTATTTCTCATTACCCCTATTTATGTTTGGCTCTGCCAACGTGTTTTGCTGGGGAGGCAAATGTTCATGTACTTTCTACGAGGAACTTCTTGAATTACAATGTTTAACATACACATTTGCCGATGCAAATTTTCGTACTAAGGCCGGATAAATATCACGTGTAATATTACCTTTATTAGCGCACGATTGTACAACATTCGCGTTTGTCGATAATTAACGCAAGTTTTGCTTGTTGAAAAGATCGGATTAATAAGAGCTCAATGTAGCATTACTGCATAGTAGGTAATTCAATTTATCAAATGGAAAGAATACAAAACAAAAATAACTTGAATCAGTAAACCATGTAATTTGGCATGTACACAGAAAAGAAATAAGTGTCAGATAAACTCATATATACTCAAATTAACGCGTTTATTGTTTTGTATGTACGCAACAATTAATCTATAATCTTCTTAGAAGCATTTAATAATCTTATATTCCAACAATATATTTCTTATTTAAATACTATAATTATTAGTTTAAGAATACATATAATTATTTTGACAATAAAATCGTTTTAATTATTATAATGTTTAATTTGAAAGCTTGTTAGTATTCTATCCAATCTTGTTTTCTTTTTATTCAAGAAAATTATTCTTAAATAATAAGTATATATATATTTTTTGATTGGATTATATAAATCGTTTCATTTAAGCAAGTTTTCCTTCCTTTAACGCAATATAATCTCGTTTCAAGATCTTTTTCTCTGTGTACGTGTGTAAATTGTTTTGTAAAATATAGAATTGCGCAATAAATAGAACCACTTTTTTATTCTGCTTAAATTGCGCTAGTATTTTTCTAGACTGTGAAGCTTGAATTGAATCTTCTTAGGAAATCTGAAAAATAATGTAAAAACGCCATGCAAACTACAGATTTAACATGTTGGAATCAGAGCATACGTTAAATCTTGGAAAATGTTAGATCTCCGGATGCATTGCTGCGCGTAATATAAAACATCTGTTGAATCTGAGAAGTGTCCCACCGCACGTGACGCAAGTCTCAGCTTTTATACTGAGGAATAGCTATCATAAATCGACGAACGTGCTGATATCCGGCACGAATCGGCGCAGACACTCGCGTATTTTCCCATCAGCTGACACTTGTGCCCAAGTGGAAAGTCTCGGCGAGGTGGGTGACGAAGGAAAGGGGTGCGAGAATGCTCATGGTGCGCACGCACCGCTGAATGAACGCGCTTTTGAGCCTTTCAGTATCGCCGACGGGGTTCTTCGGTACGGTACACCAGCTTGATCCGCCTCATGAACGATGTCGATTGACGAGTGATCATACAGTGGATGTAAACGTCGACGTGATACGCGCGCGCGCAAATGTCTCCGATGATCCCGCGACAATAATGCCGACAATTGACGAGTCGATCGACAAATCGCGCGCGAATAAATGACAGATATCGATCGGCAAGAGACAATCAAGATCCGACCAACATGCGGATATACACTGTCAAGTTCTCGGACACGACGTGATAAACCTTGTCGTTTGTTACTGTCAGTGACATGATAATGATTTTGAAACGACCGTATCTACGGTTTGCACTTTCTATTAACTGATTGAGAAGAGAAGGAAACGCACTGTAAGTGATATTGTGCTTCTGAAGTGTACGATAAGTGGAAGTCGCATTTTAGTAATGGAAAGAAGTCTTGCAGAAATGCTATCGTTTGCGGTCGTTTAACGTGCGTTTTGTAAAGAGTGTTTGAAAGTTTGAGTGCTGGTTTATTTGCCTGAAAAACACAACGATAAATGTTAATGTAATACATCGAGAGAAATAATTTTACCTAAAAGATATCATATAATTAATACGGAAAGGAATTTCGCACAGCATTGAATATTTAAAATTTTTCAAGGGGATTATACTAATTGGCAAATTCTACGTAAAGATAAAACAGATCTCTACGGATTTAATTAGTACAACGCAGAGCGCTTACTGAGTTAGATATCCGCGAATTCCCGTGGCAAAGTGATCTGAGATACAATCATTTCGCATTTATTCCGATTTTAAAGACAATCTCGTTAGCTCAACGGACAATAAGTTTAAGCAGAAGTATTTAGAAGTAAAAGGGTAAATCGACCAAATATAAGAAATAAAATGTGTTTATCAAGTTTTGTATTGGAAAATTATCACTGTCGAGTGCACTGATTAAACAACGAACCGAGACTTCCGATCAAGCGCCATAAATTCGTATCAATTACGCGCACGTTTTTCCAATAAGGAACGAGCAATCAGGTGGAGCCATCATAATGATAGTTGCTCGCCAGTTCGTTGTGCGTCACGTCGGAGGAAATCGGTAACAGCTCATAAAATCGATTTAACGTGCTATTCGGAGGAAGCAAACAGAGAGATAACGTCTCGGACAAAGCTCTGGGACTGTCTATGCACAATCGCCAAAGAGACCTCTTACAAATATGAATAGCCAAAACCTGGAGCATGTGTATAATTGCACTGCATCGATTCTGGAGCGTAATGTTACATTGCTATTAAGACTGAATATTAGTGAGATCCGTTATTTTATCGAAGAAACGTTGAACAAGTCAACTAGGCATGACATTCTTCAACAAGCGCTCCTCGACTGTATTCTCGTCCATCAGGAACGGCCATTCGATTTGCCATGGTGGCAAAAGCTCTTCTGGTCTTTGATATTCGCGGTGATACTGCTGGTCGCAACTGGTGGCAATATTATCGTTATGTGGATCGTACTTGGTAAGGGGTCACAGATTGTATAAACGTGATACAGCATGCCTAAGAAGTTTCTGCTTCGTTAGTAAAGCTTAGAGTTCCTATCAACGCAGATTATTTTAATCAAATAAAACTTTCCCTAAACTAAAGTATTTCTATCAGAAATAACAATCATATATCGCTTATCTTTACAATCAATAACTCAACTTTATAAATAAGTTACGGTGAAAGAGCATATAAACTAAAATATATGAAACTGCAGATAATGAGAAAATTAGTAGCAAATTAAAAACTTTGCATAATAATTTTTAATATATTATTACAAAATTGCTCAGGTAAGAAGTTTTTGAAAATCGCGCATTCGACTAAAAATTTAAGTTTCTAACAATATTTTGCATACAATCACAATGTTTATACACATTGTTTTATTCACAAAACTATTGTCCGTACATGCAATAAGATAACACAATTCAAATTGAAATAAATTTTAATTCGTAATTGCTACATTATTAAACATTTAATTATGTAGATTTACGGTCAACTACTCGTCACGTTTTTTTAGAGGATTGTTAAACATATATATGCGTGAAAAAGCAGTGTGTGCGATTGTTATGAATTTCTAATTTAAGTATTATTTAAGAAATTGCACATCTTGCTAATAATTTTCCCCTTCAAACAAGTAAGATAATAATCTCTTAATACTAAAATTCTCATCACTATGTGCTTTACATTTGCATATTGTTGTATAACGTTAATACATATGCGTTTATCATTATTTTATTATTAACAGCGACGCAAACTCATTATTTGCGTCTTTTAATGATAATTTTTTCTTAACTGTGTTAAATATTAGTAATCAAATCAATCTGTATTATAAAATTATTGCGAGTGTGTACATTACGATACGTTCAGAATTTTAATTCAATTTAATTGCTCCACTTACATAAAATATCACAGTATGCGATTTATCCATTCATCCCGTTCTTTCACGTAACAAAACAATTAAGTCATGTTATTAATTATAAGAATATTCTTATAAATTAGTTATTAGTATAAACAAAGATACATGTTTTTTAACAGAAAATAAAAGATACATTTTTTTATCGTTAAAACTGCACGTATTTACGAAAGTATCGAGTTGAAATTAAATTCAACCTACACTAATTATGAAATGTTTCAATTAACTATCTGTAACAAAATTGACTGCATTATAAAAATATGTAGTATGCATGCATACATTAAAAATAAAAGGTTTCTTTAAAATGGATTCATTGGATTTTATATATCTTGCCACAGTATTATATGTATATTGCTTCATTCGTTCTTTGAAAGCGTTCTTTATATTCTATATTAAGAAGCTAAAATTAAATGTACAATCTACACGGATTGTACATTTAATTTTTGCACGGATAGTGTCTCAAAGAATCTGCATCTCATACCACTTTAATAATATTACTAGCAATAAAAATGTCTTCGTTACGTTTAATCAAAAACATAAATAATTGATAGATGATTAAATAGAAATTACGAGACAAAGAATATATTCAAGGCATAAGATATATTAAATAATACCTAGATATTCTATAAGCTGGAAAGATACACATGATATTGGAAAGAGAGAATTTGTTTTTTTTTGTAAATATTATAACATACAAATGGATAAAACTTACAATTATTATTAAATTAATTTTTTAAAAGTAACACATCGCATAATAAATACAATAATTTTTCGTAATGATTATATAAATATTTTGTTATTATATATATGATATATATATTTCTACCATATAACGGCATTAATAATAACGATACATTTTGGAAATTGATCAAGCTAATAATTAAATCTCATTTAAGTGTCTTTTTCTTACAAAACATTATACAAAACTAAAAATCTGCAAATTGATACATGTTTGAAATTCATTACTTACATTCTAATTGTAAGATTACATAAATTATATCTTTGAATATTTTGAATATACTTCCGATAAACGCTCATGCTCTATTTACGTGTTCTTTGATAAAAATGCCGTAAATGATCTCAAAACGAATACCCTTAAGTGAATTTTTCCTAACAAAAGTTTACGCCATATAATAATTAAGTTAAAGCCGTATAATACCCAAAAAAAACCTTTCATTAAAAATTTTAAACTAATTAACTAATTTAAGTAATATTTGTATGAGGTGGATCTCGCTTCGTATGGAAAGTTGGAAACCTATGTGAAACCGTACAATAATAGACCTCGTTTCGCACTGAAAGCATCGGCATCGGAGTGAACCTTGCTTCATGGAAGATTGGAAACCCATGCGAAACCATTATACGTTAAAAACGACTTTCCCATAAGAGTTGCCAACACTTTCTTTCGGGGTTTGCATTTCAACACGAAATGAAAGCTTCGTCGAAATCAATGATCTGTTTTTGGAACTCTGCCCTTTATATCATTCGTGTTTGTTTAAATGTTTTTATGTTCCGTGCCGTGAGTCAATCCAACACCCACAACGAACTTTTCATTTAGAGCACTTTAAATTGTCAATATAAAGACGAATATAACAAAACCACTTTCCAATATTGTTAATTGATACATAATTTCTATTTGCAAATCTACATATACATATACGCATAGTTATGTAAATACATATAAGTAAAAAAATGACAAGAAAACATTTAATCACTACATACGACTTTATTTGAAGATTTTACACGTATCTATGTCTTCATCTTTCTTAACAGTACAAATACATTTAAAGATGTTGAAATTGTTTAACATTTTTTCACCAAAGAACACGTAAAGAAGCCGCGGGTAGTTTTTAGAAGTTTATCCATATTTTTAAAGAACGTATTGATATTGTGTCAATTATTAATATTTTTATAAAAGAAAGAAAGCAGAAATAAAGAAGAAAATTACATGTCTGTATCTTTGTCATTCAAAATCGAATATATATTTATATAAATATTTTACTCAAAATGATTGCGTGAAAAAATCATTCCTGTGATTTAATATTAATATTTTTTTCATTCTTGTAAAACAGCATGTATTTTGAACATTACGTAGAATCTCATGAAATGTTCAGTCGTTTACTCGGGCGATGGAATATTTCATTTTTTATTCATTCTATGTGTTAAAAATCGTTCTCGCGATACATACTACAGGCACTCGATAAAAACAAGCAGAACATGAAGCGAGATAAATCTTTACGATAGAACACGTAGTACGATAAAACATGTCACACCGTCTACGTCAGCTGAATAATTTGATTACAGTTTACATAAGTTTTTATGTAAGTTTGAACAGAAATGTTGCGAGGTGCTTAATAATTTTAAATAATCCAATATGTTTTAAGTTACAATATTATATCATAGCATGTTTTATACTAAAACGTTAAACTATCACTTTTCGTGTACAGCAAATGTAGATATGGCAAAAATCAATATGTAGATGTAGATTTAACAATACGTGTTAGTCGACAATAACTGACGAATTGATTAATTAATTTTACGGCAATAAAAATTGAAAAAGAAACAATTATCGTTTTCAATCATTATTAAAGATATATGTGAATTGCAAGTTTGGAAAAAATCAATATGTCAGAAGACTTTCTTCACAATTAATAGTTTGTCAAATCAAAAAGATAAATTTTAATATAAAGAAGATTTTATATACTTATTGTATATCGTCAATGTGGATTATCTCAATCTTGCCCTTTTTTTCCTTATGTAAGCTTAGCTATTTTCCCTTGTTATCTGACTATTTTGATCTGTAGGTATCTAGGTGGCAAGCACCCTTAGTTAGAGACAAACACAAATTGTTTCAGCTGTAGTGAATCAATAAAAGTATGCACATTAATTTTGTATACGAGACGTATATGGACTTTTGGTTTTTTATATAGTTTTGTTTATATGGAGTGGTATATAGTTTATATGGAGTATATGTATAGTAAATGGTTGTGTGCAAATAAAAACTAGCATACTACTAAATATCAGTCAGTCTACTATCTGATTAAACTTGGCAAATTTACTTGAAGTACGCTTTTACACATACTCAAAAAATAAAATATTAGGAAATGTTATATAATCTCCTATATAAATTTCGACACCTTTCTTTCACAGATCATTAACAATGCCAATTTCAGCTTTACCAATTTTTCCAAATTACTTTAGCTCTTCTATGAACGCCAATGTATCCATAAAATTATTATTTAATTTAAATACGTGTAAGATTTAAAATAATATATCATTGACTACTGACAAATAAACGTAGGCTACTTTTGTATCCACATATACATACATACATATAAATACACGCGCACGTGTGTGTGTGTGTGTGTGTGCGTGCGTGCGTGTGCGTGTATTCATATTTTATAGTTACAAACAATAATCAATTTACATAGTTTCTAAAATCTTAGACATGATGAATATAAGATCCTGCATAATACATCATGTGAGTTAGGTTCACGTTTCATTGAGCCTTTAATAAATTTTAGATGTTATTTCCTATATATAATATAAATCATTAATCACATAAATACATACTATTTTAAGGAATACATAAGCCTTTTATTTAAGGAATACATAAGTACGTGCTAGGAATACATATTAAATTTCCTAGCACGTACTTTATTAAATCAGTTTGCAGCCTCCGCACAATTAAAACACACATACACACACTCTTTCTCATTCTCTCCGTCCCTCTCTGTCTCTGTCTCTGTCTCTCTCTCTCTCTCTCTATTGTATTTTTATAGGTGCTTATCAGCATTTACCATTTACATATATATCTACCCGTTTAACACTTGAATAAACCAAACCATTATACCGGTACTGGTTGCATTTTTTATTTTCTGCTTGTTTCGTTTCCGCAACCTTTAGAAATTGCCGCGAATCCGTAGAGGTAACTATGCGTTTATACAGTACGCGTAGCATTTTATATCACAATGGAATTATAACTTGCAATAACGAGAATGTATGTATTATAAAACCTTGAATGAGCTGTATGTATGCACGTTACGCGGTATTATATTAGCCATGGAAT